CCCTGACTTTGAAGATCAATATCTCACTAACCAGAAGGAATTAGACAGCGTGTAATATATCAAAAGAACGCCCCAGAAGAGATCTACAACATATCCAAATTTCAGATAAAACTAATTAGTGGATCTCGAGATATAGGTAATTCTTTGAAACTGGTCACAGCTCGCGGAAATCTGGACAGGGTGTGATTAAGACGTGATTGCGCGTAAATGCGCTTTTGATATTGGTAAGGGTGAGATGGGGTTGTTTTCTTGACAGAATATGTGGTAATATGGTGATTAGGAGGTGTGAGGTCTCATTGATATTGGACGAGAAAAAGGGAAAACTCATTCGGGATTGTTTTTCAAGAAACTGGAGAACATGTATCAAGATTCAAAAACACAATCAAGAATGCCAAGGAAATTTTTTTAGGGTTTTTTTATGAAAAAGACACGAAGAAAAAAAAATAGTATGTAAGATAAGAATGAGATAAACCTAGGCTCTGAATACCAAATTGATAAGAACCTAGTCCAAGATTCAAATAAATGGAGTATTGTCCCAAGATTACTCTCAATGGAAAGATAGAGATGGATCAAAATACCTTAGACCTCACGAGAAACCCTTTGTCTCGAATCCTCAAAGACTTGGAAGAATCCCATGTAGCTTCAAGTACCTCGATGTTGCAATCTTCAATCAACTAGAGTCGGATCTAGTTTCCTTCGATTCAAGAACGAGTCCACGAACCTAAATCTAAGGTTGAAGAAAGTAAGATTGATTCGAGTCCACGAATCAATTTGCTAGTCGAGTCCACGTCTAACCACTAATTGAGTCCACAATTAGCCATAAGGTTTCTTACACAAGTGTAAAGAAAAACTTAAGAATTTTATTGAATTAAAGCCTGTCTAAAACTGATATGGATGTGCCCTATTTATAGGTATAGCGCAGCATTGTAATCTAAATACAATGGGAAAAAGAGTCCTAAACCTAATCAAGAAAACAAGTAAATAGAGTTTTATTTAGAAAAGGATTTAAGGAATCCTTTCTAAATACAACTAGTGTTTTCTCTTTTATGCCAAACAATTTAAATTAATGATGACCAAAAATAATAGGGCTGATTTGGGCCTAATTTAATCACCAAAATCAGCACTTAAACAATTATAAAAAAGCCTTGAGTTATTCTTCATATTTTGCAAATGGGCTTGACTTGGATTTCCACCATCTTTGAACATCACCAATGAAGAATTGCCTTAATTGTTTGGACTTGGGCCTTGTGATTGCCCCAATTAGTACTCTTAATGGATCTTCATATGTTGGGCCGCATCATCCTCCCCTTCTTGAAAATGATTCGACCTCGAATCTTGTAAGCATTGTCTTCGATCCATGATATCACTTGAAATTGGCCACTATAATATTTTCCTCTATCGAATGGACTTATTATTGGTCTTTGTTGTTTCTTCCACCAATGATGTTTTAAGGTCGTCGTTATGGGCCTTGTGATGAGCCCACTATTTACCCTTTCTGGATTCCATGTGTACTGGTTCCTATTATCTACTCAGCGCATTGGTCAGCAGCAAAATTGCATGGGCCAAAAATACATCACAAAAGTTCACTGGGTCTACTATTCCTGGCGGTAAGTGTCTTTATGAACGAGACACACAACTACGAGTGATTACTAAAGCAAAACTAAACATTGTTTTATATATTTTGCAGGTTTTTTATGTTGACAGGGTTGTGTTTTACAACAGAACAGTACCTAGGGCATTGCCAGCATTCAAACGATGGGACACGCGTCTACTGAACCAAAGGGAAAAGGCTGAGATTAGTTCGGGTGGCTTCCGCTACGGCTACATTGATGAGGCACAGGAAGAAGTCCTGCAACTGACAGACACAAACAAATCCCAAGATGATGATCAAGACTAGCAGGTAAATATCAATAATCTTATGTTATGCAACTAGATTAAATTATATGTGCATGAAGTTATATGTATTAGTGCACATAGAATTTTGTAACCAAAAAAAAGTAATAAACGGTTAACTAGTTGATTAAATACATCCCTATACATGGTTAATACTTCTTGTGTGCATAAATCATACATACCATATCAATATAATGTTTGAACAATATTAAAATGTTAATAATACATTGTGTGCAATTAATTTATTTTGTATATGCATGTACACCCTAGAATTTGTGCACTCAGAGTATTAACACATGCTTTTACAAACTGAAAAAAAAAAGAGTTATATGCACAGGTTTGCCAAAAAGATAAAACTTCTAGCAAAAACAATGCTTGAAGTAATGGAAATGACGCAAGAGGCACCTGAGCATACAGATGAAGATGAGAACTTCAAGCAAATGGTGGAATCTGCACAGAAACTGCTTGGAATTCCAAACCCTGATGTTACATTGACCCAACAAAATGAAGAGTTCTGGAACAACCCAGAGTTCATTGCTGCATTTGATGCAATTGATGATGCAATCACCAGAAGAGAGCAGTACAGGAACAAGGTAGCAGAGGGACCAAGTTTTAGCTTGGGGCTGACTCAAGAAGAGATTGAAAATGCAATTCGAAATGTCACAAGGACTGCAGCAGATTCAAGCTTTAAAACACCTCTTAACCCTTCACCTGATGAGGCAACACCAGACTAAGATACAAGATAGGAACAAACAGAAGAGCAAACACAGATGACTGTTGATGAGGTAATGAAACTTTAAAAACTTACTTGCATTATTACAATATACTACTTGCACTTTGTGATCAAAGTAGTTGCACTGTATCATTATAGATTCTGCCTGAACAACCACAACCACAACAGGAAGAGCCAGCAGTGGCAGTTGATAAGAATGTACCAAAACAACCTCAGGCACTGCAACCAAGGGCTGAGAAGCGGCAAGTGAAAATCACCAATCCATTGAAGTCCCCGTACTTGACAAGAACAGTTGATGTTCATCGAGCATGGAATAACAATGAAAAAATGATTGCCAAATGGGTTCTACAGAATCCCAATGTTGAACCGTAAGACTATATAACTAACAGTGTTGGTCCATCAATATATTAAAGTCTCTACTGTCGTTGCTGATTATTATTATTATTATTATTATTATTATTATTATTATTATTTTTTTTTTTTTTTTTTTTTTTTTTTTTTTTACAAACAGAACAAAAGAGATTTTCAAATATGGTGATAAGGCAATCATATGGGATGACATGTTATCCATGGCCATTGATAAGGAGATTAAGGTTGGAGTCGTAGATGCCTGGTCTACAATTCTAAACTCTAAAGAAAGGGCCCGTAGCAATACCTCACCTTGCAGATTTTTTGCAACAACATTCGTATGCGTAAGTTTTACAACAACTATAATAACCTTACATATAAAAAAATTGTAAAATGCACCCTAACATCTACATTTATTACAGCTTTTCACGATTGTAGCCCCCTACGGTGACCACACATTGAGGTTTAGAAGATTTTCAGAGAGATTGGATGGTGAAATTGGAGTGACAGAAGGATTAAGCCTTGAAAATATTGAGTTGGTAAGCACACACTATATACGCAATGGTACAAATAACTTATATCAATATTGCAATAAACTATATCTATTTGTGCAACTAAACTACTAATTCTATGCTTTCAAACAGTTTATGTTCCCCATTGTACATGCTGAGCACTACTATGTCCTCAGCATAAATTTCAAAAATAAAAGATTTGACATCTTGGACAATTCATCAGTTGAAGGCCCAAAGTATGCAGATATCCCACAATCACTAGTAATGTTACTCAACCAATTTCATAAAATTTAATGCTTTTAACATTGATAGTTTGTATACTAACAATTACAAGTAATACAGACAAATATGCTGGTAGAGTACTTCCAATCCAAAAATGATGATGCGAAAAGCAAATTTGTACGGGGACTAACACCATCAAGACTTGAAATGAGTTGGAGAGATGATGCGAACAAAGTTGACTGTGGTGTGTTCGTTATGCGACACATGGAGACATATATGGGGAAAGGTGTGAGGGGTTGGGACTGTGGGATTGAAAAAGGAAATCGAGAACAGCTAAACAACCTGCGGGTGAAGTACCTTGCAGAGATCGTGAACGGCCCAGTCAATGAACAGCGAGAGGAATGCATGAAGCTTGCCAGAAATTTCCAAAAGGCCTCAAAGTCAAAGAAGTGACGAACACCTAATTGTTTTTTTTTTTTCTTTGTGAACGTCTGTGAATGTGTTTTTGGTGCAGGCAACTAAATCTTTAAACAAACCAATTTTTGAGTTGCCTTTGAATTTAGTAACTACTTTTGGAATGTTGACTATATGAAGTCATACTTGTGTGCAAGTACTAGTAGCATAAGTGCTTGTACTCTACTGTAAGGCATATCTAGTAACCTAGTTGTGGAAGGAATGCACCTAGTTATACTTGTAAGCGCATATAGTTGATATACTGGTGCACCTAACATTTACTGTCAGATCAATACAATCACCTTTTGTTATAAATGCATGTAATTGTTTATATTAACGCAATTAGATCTGCTATATTTCCATATATGCTAAAACTACTTCCATTTCTCTACTAAGCCACATGTACAACACATCTTCCTTGTTAAAGCAAATAATTTTTCCTACAAGTGCAATTAAATATGCTTTTAATTGCATACAATATACTACACTATTAATAATCATATTTTTATATGAAAGTGCACAAATAAACTCTGCAACCGTTTTTCTTAGTAAATGCATTTAATTGTTTATATTATAACAATTATACTTGTAATCAACTTTCATGTAATCTTCACAAGTAATCATGCAACAATTAGTGCATATAATCTGCAATAAAACTGCATGTAATCTTCTATATTAGTGCAACAACAATACACAACATCCTAACACGAGATATCAGCACTGGATTATTCCATCTAAGCTAAGAACTACTTCCATAACTACTAAACCAACATTATAAAGAATCCCTCGTAGTTATATTTTGACAACAAAAAATGTAAATACAATTGTATCTACAGTATCTATAAACTGCATACCTTATCCTTCATTTTCCACAACACACATTTCCTACTATCATGATTAGGTTTGTTGCAAGTATTGCAAGTTCTCTCCTTCTTACTTTGTTCAATGGCAATCTCCTTGCAACCTTTAATGCTCCTACCACTACCCTTGTTCTTTGCTTTGTTTGGTGGAAGAATGGAGACTTCGGAAGGGACTGAAGAACCACATATTGACTCGATGACTGACCTCTTATCAATAGCAGAAGAACAGCCACCCTTATCAGCCAAAAGCATATCCTTGTGGTCCTTAATGATCTGGGAAAACACTTTCAAACGATCAATGTTAGACTGAACCATACTAACACAGCATTGAATATCTAACCACTCATTTTTCAATATCACCAACTTCTCATCAACACCTCCACATTGATCAACAACAACACCATCAATATCAAAAGTTTGACACAATGATGCACTCTTGGTCCATCGGTTAACTACATAGACCAATGGAATTGAATCCAAGTTCAAATCTTTGAAAACTACAAAAATATGCCTACAAAGCAACCCTACCCTTTCAAACAGTTTACATCCACATGAAGCTTTTACTTCAGCAACATTATGCACCACCCTAAACACTCAGTCATTTTCGTCTTTAATATCATAATACAAGACCCCTTGGTCATCCCGAACATTTAGAACTCGACAGCTAAAACATGCTGCACAAATCTCAGCTTGCACCAAATAAAAAGCTGTAAAAGTATACACATATGCAACATGTTTCTCCATAGACAGTGGTGTCTTCAAATCTGGAAAGCATGCCTCCGAGTCACTGTTGAGTTTATTAATAGAATAGCGTTGACTATCAATCGCACGATCAAAATGCATAAAAAATTCAACCAGGTTGGACTGAGGAATAGTAAAAGAACCAAACAAACTATTCTCACTCTCCGACCGGGAAGTAGTCCTAATTAAACCATTCATACTAACATCACTAAAGTATGCAGGAATCCAAAGATGACGAAGATCATACATCTTGACAAACCAACTATGCTCCAACAACCCAAACTCCTCCATGACAACATTCCATTGATAATCAAATTCAGCTGGTTCCAAATAATGACTCCATACAACAGAATTCAACTTTGACCTAAAAGTCTCATTTTTACTCAATGAAGGGCCAACCTTATCTCCTACCTTAAACATAATGTGCCACATGCAAAACCTATGCTTAGCTTCCTTGAACACACGTGGAAATGCAACCCTCATTGCTAGATCTTGATCAGTAACAACCAATACTGGCTCACTACCCATCGCTTCCTTAAATTTCTCAAACAACCACACATATGACTCAATATCCTCTTTTGTCAACAACCCAGCCCCAAAAGTAATAGACTTTTTATGGTTATTAACACCAGTAAATGGTGTAAACACCATATCATACCTGAAAAAAAAATGTAAAGTTTGTCAGAGAGTACATGCGCATTTAGTGTAGACTAGTTGCACCTATAAACATATATACTTACATTATGACCAAAAATATGACCAATAACACAACAGAATATAAAACTTATGCCCTACACTACCAAAACTAACCTGTTTGTTTGATATGTAGCATCAAATGACACAACGTCACCAAAAAGTTTAAAATTCTTCCTAGAAACCGCATCAACCCAAAAAAATCTGGATAAGTGGTCATACTCATCAACATCAAATGCAAAAAACAAAGCTGGACATACTTCTTTTTTTTTTTTTTTTTTTTAAGAAATTAGTCACAATCATCTGAGCATCAACCCCAGCAGAAAATGCGTCCACATCCCTTTTAATATTCCGAAATTCCAAACTAGTTGCACCAACATTTGCCAACCCACCAAACATCTCACCAAACAACCGAAAACTCTGCACTGGCCCAATGTTCACTTTTCCACAATCAGCAACGAACCTCATATGACCAGGTCCAACCTTTCTATTCATCTTCAGAAACTGTCTTGACATTACTGATGTCAATGAATGGTTATTACGCTCTTCAAACATGTGAATAACATAAGTGCCATCACCTCCATATCTAAAAATAGCACAAGCCCCACACCCAACCCTATTTGAAAATCTCCTCCTCTTTTTAAGCGAAGACTCCGCATCACCATCCAATTCTGCTACTGACGATTTATCCTTACAAACAACGTGCTTATGGCCCTCTCGATTACAAAGAACATACCTCCAAACAATGGTCCCATCAGCACATTTTGACAAGTGACTTAGTCAAACATCAAACCCAACAATCGATGCATATTTAATATAAAATGAAACCCCAGTATCTAAATCAGGAAAAACCTTCCCAACAGACGGTTTAACTGAATCTTCACACAAAGGGACGTAATATTTTGTCAAACCAGGAGAAGTATCCAAACGATACGAATCTACTTCACATGTGTGGACAAATGTACAACTACTGGTAATCTACCATAAACTATATATAATTAAACATTATTGCAAGTACATAAACCGTAGTGTGCAAGTAAATAATAAATACAACGCAATAAAATAACAAAAAAAAAGCCTGGAATGCGGATGGAACAACAACTGTGTGTGCAATTATTCTAGCATTATATGCATGCAAATTCAAACTTCAATGCAAATACCTACAGAAACACGATGAATGGTTTACAAATTCAACTAAACATGTGAGCCAGATAACAATAATTCATCTTAGACAATGAATATAAATATACCAGTATTGCAAGTACATAACCCATAGTGTGCAAGTAAAATAATATATACGATGCAACTAAGTAACAAAAAAATTGCATCCATTACAGACGGACCGACAATTATGTGTGCAATATTTCTAGAATTAGCTAAATGTAAATTAAACCTTCAATGTAGTTACCTACGGAAACACGATGACTGAATTACAAATTCAACTAAAACCAGTAACCAAGATACCAGTAATTCATCTTAAGCGATCAATATAAACAGACCAATACCTGGCTCCAT